GTGCTTTAACCACTATGCATTAGTGGGACATTTTCATCCTTTAGTAAAGTCTGTGAGAGTCACGTTATAATCACAAGGCTGCTTGGTGAGCATGGAATTAGATTGGGAGGTGTTAGTTGATCTGTTTAATAGCTATCCATCCACCTCTACTCTGGAAATGGATTTACCAGACATATATATATCCTTTGACCAGCTGATCTGGACACATTTTTCCTCCTTGGGATTCTCTCTTTTTTCAAGATACTATTTGTCTGTCTTGAACATTCCTTTAGAATCGGTTAATTAAGTAAATAGCTTTTGATATATTACTATAATTATGCTTTCCAGAAAGTATTGTAGTTCTTTCAACAGCACTTTACATTTTAAACATTCCTCAGCTACCCATTTACTGACTTTGTTAAGGGAGATTACTTAAGTTTTTAATGATTTTCATCTTTTAAAAACCATTAAAGCCCACTGCTGTCAAGTCAATTCCAACTCATAGTGACACTGTAAGACAGAGTGTACCTGCCCCAGAGAGTTTACAAGGCTGTACATCTTTACAGAAGTATGCTGCCACATCTTTCTTCTGCAAAGCAGCTGCTGGATTCAAACCGCCAACCTTTAGTTAGCAGCCAAGCACTTTAACCACTGTGCCACCATGGTTCCTTTCCATGTCTTGGTTAGTGATTTATCCAGATTTCACTATAAATGGATAACATTGTCTAATTTGGGGCTCATGGGGTTTTTTGTGCTTATACCTGTACTGTGTACATATTTATAATAAATACTTTCTCCTTGATGGCTTATGGTTTAGGGGAATTTTAACTCCCCCCGCCCCTGTTATTAAATGTACATTTTTTGCCTCTCTGTTTCAGGCCATTTCCTAACTCTGAATCATGTCTGATAACGGAGAACTGGAAGACAAGCCTCCAGCACCCCCTGTGCGAATGAGCAGTACCATTTTTAGCACTGGAGGCAAAGACCCTTTGTCAGCCAATCACAGTTTGAAACCTTTGCCCTCTGTTCCAGAGGAAAAAAAGCCCAGGAATAAAATCATCTCTATATTCTCAGGCACAGAAAAAGGTAAGTGGTTCTTGTGGTTTTCAAGAATCTCATTTGCTTTAGTGTTTTCTTGTCCATGTTGATTTTTTTTTTTTTTTAGTATAATACGGTGGAAACAGTACATTTGGTGAACACAATAAGTATATCCAAGAAAACAATTGCTATTAGAAAGGCTAGTTTCTTTTTAAACTGTGATAGAAAAGAATAAAGCTGAAAAATTATTTATCTTACTTGTTGCGGTTCAGTGAATTATCTGTACTCATCTTCTTTTCTGATACTTGGACTATAATTTGTGGCTTCACAATATTTGAGAAAGATCTATTATTATAAGAATTGTGATATAATATCCATGATCTCCTGTCAGAAATCCTTGGACAAAGCTGTTTTCGAATTAAAAGTTTTTCTGCTTTTTTGTTCAGTAATACTGCCTTTCTTGAATCATGTTCTGTAATGCCGTCAGAAACATCTGAGGCAGCACTCAGTAATTAACACATTAATGCATCTCTAGAGAAATGTGTTTCTAGTCCAGGGATTCTCAGTCTTGGCACTATTGACATTTTAGGGCCAAATAACTTTATTGCAGGGTGTTGTCTTGTGTATTATAAGCTATTTAGCAGCATTCCTAGCCTCTAGCATATTCCCACCCAGTTGTGACATCCCAAAATTTCTGTAGATAGTGCCACATGTCCCTTGGGGGCAAAATTGCCACCTGTTAAGAGCCACTGGCCTAACGCACTTGACTACTAATCAGAAGGCTGGTAGTTCAAACCCACCAGCCACTCCTTGGAAGGAAGGTGGGGCAATCTACTTCTGTAATGGTACTGCCTTGGAAACCCAAAGAGAGGTCACTATGAGTCGTGTCCGACTCGACGGCACACAACAAGAACCACTGGTCTTAGTCACACAAGTAGTGTGAAGACTATAACTAACCTCATGTAATATGAAATTACTAAATTAGTTTTGGTGCCGAACTTAAGAAAACTTTTGGTTTAAGACTTTTTGATTTTAGAATTGGATAAGGGATTATGGGACCATGATAAGGATGAAGGTTTATTTAGGTACGTTCAGCATGGGAATATAGCTGATAGTTAAGCTGGTAACGGTTAAAAGCAGAGAAGAGGATCTGTCTCTTAAGTTTACATGTAGAGCATGGGTTTTTAAAGGTTGGGAAACGATACCAAATGTACTTATTAGAAACTTAATAAGTAACATTGAAACAAAAGCTAGATTGCATAAGCAGCTTTTCCAAAGTGTTTTAACTTTTTTCCAGTCTCATCTCATGTCCTCTGTTTAATGACCTAGTCATTCTGGTTGAAGTCTGGTCATTCCCCACACGTTATAATTTTTGCCCTCAATTTTCATGCTCATCATGTTTTCTTCATCTAATATCCTCTCCTATTTCCTTTTGATTAGCCCATGTTTTTTCATATTCAAGATCTGAGTCAGAATTCATTTTCTGATTAGCTTGACTAAATTCATTCCACATTTACCCTGGATTTATTTTTATGTATGTTGTTTTGGACCATAAGTTAGAGTATACTTATTTAGAGTTTTTTATGGACTTGGCTCATAACAGATTTTCAGATGTTTGTGATAGATCACACACAGATGATGAGCACATAAGTGTGCAGTTTAAAAAGTAATTGTGAAGTGACTATATGTGTAACTGCTACTTGAGTCAAGATACAGAGTATTTCTAGCACCTCATGAGCATCCTTCATTGTGGGTCTTCCCCAGTTACAACCCCTCTTTCCCTCCCTAGATGTCACCACTTTTCTGAGTGTTACGGTAATTGTGCTCTAGCTTTTCTGTACAGTTTAATTACTAATGAATACATTTCTAAACAATATTTTTAAATTTTGTCTATTTTTAGAGTTTATATAAACTGCATTCTTTGTATTTTTTTGTGTCTTGCTTCCCTCATGTAGCATTATATCTACAAGGTTCATCCGCTTTCTTGTGGGTAGCAGTCCTTGCTCTGTGTAATCCCATTATATCAGCATATCACAATTTATGTATTGGTTATATCATTAATGGTCTTTGAGTTGTTTCTCTAGTTGGGTCTATTACAAACTATGATGCTGCAGACATTCTGATACAAGTATTCTGGTGCGCATGTCCACTATTTTCTCTGGCTGAGTGTATACCTGGAAGCAGAATTTCTGAGTATATACATCCTCAGCATTTATAAAGTTTGCTAATCAGTTATCCAAAATAATTCTACTGATTTGCACTTTCACTAGAAAGGCCCATTGTTCCATATCCATGCCAGCATTTGGTATTGTCAGAATTAATTTTTTTTTACATGTCTGGTGACTATTGATGGTACTTCATGGTTTTAATTTGTGTTTCTCTGATTACTCATAAGGATAGAAGCTTTTCATGTACTTACTGACCATTTGGATTTCCTCTTCTGTGAAGTGTGTGGCCAAGTCTTGCTCTTTTTTCTGTTGTTAGTCTTTTTCTTACTGAATTGTAGGAGTTCTTTATATAGTCTGAATACTAGTCCATTTTCTGTTATTTGTATATATCTTCTTCTAGTATGTGACTTCCCTTTTCATTCTATCCATGGTAACTTCTGAAGAACAGCAGTTATTAATTTTATCTTAGTAGAATTTATCAGTTTTTTATTAAGGTGAAAAAAAGTCAAATAACAGCAGTTTCATATACAGGTAGTCCCTGATGTATAATATATTTGAGTTATAACGAACCACACTTACAACCATCAGTTTTTTTTTTTCTTGTACATGTTATTATGAGTAATATGTACTACATATAGTGTTGGAGTGTGTAATTTGCTGGTCTTTTCATTCTCAGATGTTTACTTGGCAGATGTTCAAAAATTGGATTTTTAAAGATACTGATAATAAAAGGAAACAGTAATGAAAAACTAAAAAAAAAAAATTAGGTATTCAGCTCATTTTGACTTATGACAGAGTTGTCACAGTGGAGCCCCATCATGAGTTGGGGTTCAGTCTCATTCATTATGGATTAGGTTTGCTGTCATTGAGAATAAATTTTTCCGTGCTCCTAGATCATAAAGACATGTTCCTAAGAATTTTGCCTGTCAGATTTGGATCTTAAATCCATTTAGGAATTTTTTTTTATGTAGTGTTTTAAGCCATGTGCATGGTGTATCTCTTGATATTTAATGTCTTCTTTAAAAGATGTTATTTCTTTTTCCCACAAGTTTTACACATCTTTTATTTATTCATAGATTGCTTAATATTTTTAGTGCTATTAAAATATGTGTTCTCCTCATGATATTTCATAGAAATGCAGTTGATTTCTAAATATTGAGTTTATAGCAATTTTGCTTAATTATTTATTTTAATAATGTATCCATAGATTCTTTGAGTCTTTCTTACAAATACATATCTGCAAATGAGGGTGGTTGGTCTTTGTCTTATCCTTGCCTTACTGCATGCCTGTGACCTCTTACAGAATACTGAATAAAATAATCGGCATCTCTGTCTTGTTCCTGATCTCATAAGGAAGGCTTTCAGTGTTTTACCATTACATTGTGAATGTTTGCTGTAAGGTTTTTGTATATATCCTTTATCTGGTTAAGGTAATTTCCCTCTATTCCTAGTTTACTAAGTTTTTCATGAATGAATGTTGAATTTATCCAGTGCTTTTTTTCATCACATCTTGTGATTGAGTCACTTGCTGCTTTAGTTTCTTAGTGGTGGTTCATGTGTTCACTGATGAGATTGGTGTGTAATTTTCTTTGCTCATATCTCCATCTCTCATTTTGGTATGAGGGTTATGCTAGCCTCATAAAAAATTGTAGCAGGGTATTATTTCTCTTCTGTGGAAGAGTTTGTGTAAGATTGGAGTTGGTTTTTTTTTTTTTTTTTCCCTTGAATGTTTGTTAGAACCACCAATGAAGCCAACTGGTTTAGAATGTTTTTTCTGGGGAATGTTTTTTTAAAAAAATATTGATTCACTTTTTCTTTAATTGTTACAAAACTTTAAAATGTTCATTTTACTCCCATGAAGTTATTTAAAATATTCTCTTAGTGCTTTTCAGCCTTATGTCCAATACATGCATTTTAAGGATAGACATTTTTAGCTAAGTGCTGTTTTAGGTTCTTCAGCATCAATTCAAATGTATTTTCTGATTTTCACTGGAATTTCTTCTTTGTCCTATGTTTTATTTATACATATGCTTGTTAATTTCCAAACTTATGGGAGTTTTCTGGTTATCTTTTTGTTACTGATTTCTAATTTAATTGCATTGTAGTCCAAGAACAATCAATTTAGATTTGTTGAGATTTACTATATTTTTATTTATTTTTAATTTAAAATATTTTTCCAGCACACTAATCGTACTCTTCGATTTTTATGTAATATATACCTATGTAATACATAGTTTTTACGTAATTATAGTATGCATATATGTTTTACGTGATCTTAAATTTCCTTAATAAAAAATACATTTTTAACTTTTTAAGTAGCTTTCATTTGGGCAACGGCCTTCTAAAGTGATTAGATATGTAGAAATTAGGATTAGGTGCTGTGGTAGTTAGTATCGCTGACCTTTTCCTGGGTTGGAGGTGGTGGCTTCACTTGGTGCTCTGGTATCCTCCCCAGTAACAATTCTTCCAGACATACCTCAGTGTTCCTTTAGTTCAGGGACTTTGGAGCAAGGGCATGGAATTACTTGTCTGCTTTAATGATGCCCTGGAGATCATGTATTGAGCTATTTCATCACTTTTGATTAAGCATTCTACATAGTTTTCCGAAAATACTTCCTTTGCATATATCACACAATTAGTATTTTCTGATTTTTTACATTATTTCTCTTTATTAAAAGTATGTCAGATTTATTTTTGTGTGGTTCAAGTCTCAAACTTTTAACATTTTTAAGTGGGTGTTTGACAAAGTTATGTACAGTGTCTAGAGGAGAATGAAAATTCTCTGGATAGTACAATTAAGCTCTACTAGCCAAAACGTTGGTGGTTCGAACCCACCTAGAGGTGCCTCAAAAGACAAGCCTAGCAATTTGCTTCCGAAAG